AACTTTTGACAGCAATGCCAAGTTAACTGGACTAGAAACAGACACTACTAATCCAAATGTTAACCAGCAGGCAACATTAAGGCACATAGGACTTAGAACAAGGACCCAGGGCGCCATCAATCTGAGATGTTGAGGCCTCTGCAGAGCAATTTTTTAACAAGGTCTTATTTGTGTATGTTTCAGTAAGGTTTTAATCTCTGATTAGAAGGGAGGAAATAAAAAAGATTTACCTTGCCAATCTTTCAGCAATATAAAAACTGAAATCTGATTTTGTCTGTTGGAAAAGTAGAGAGAAGACTCTTGATTCAAATAAGAGTTTTAGAAATTCAAAGTAGAGATACAGTTCTATGAGCTGAAATGCATAGCCATGCCCTTGTATTTATGCCTTCAGAAAATCTCAGTGCCCTTCAAGGAAAAGCCCTGACAAAACGCTTTTCAATGACTGAAAAGAAACTCTCAGACAGACATAGAAGGCAGAAGTGCCCCTGTTCTAGTAAGATTTTTTTCTTGCATTAAGGAAACTTTGAAAGAGTCAAGCCAGCATATTCTTGTCATTGAGAATTCAGAGTCTGAAACTTCAAATACATTTTTATATCAACATTAGGCACTTGGTAGACATAAATCTTTTATAAAAAATTTATTTCTCTGTTAATACAAATCCCAACATCAACAAACAATAGTCCAGTGGAAAAATACTTAGCCATTAACATTGAAAACTTTTTAAATTTAATAAATAGAACTTTGGCATTCAAAATTCTAGCTGTAAACCCTATTAAAAAACAAAAACAAAAAACAACCCCTTTACAAAAAAAGAGGCAAGGATAATAATCAGAAGGCATAAGCCAACCAGTGGCTTCACATTCTTTTTACAATAACTATATTTCAATTAAGTCATGACTATTGTATTTACACATGAGGTATTCTGGGTGGTTCAAAAACTGAACCTAGTTTATAAAAACCACCAGTCACAGTGACTGATGATATACTCTGCTGTGCTTTTAATGTAGCCACCTAGCACCTTACTACTTCTTGTCATCACACCAACGTGATGCTGAATTTTATGTTTATGCATTTAAATAACTATTTATACATATATATACACACACTTACACACAAATGAATACATTCCAAAGGAGTTTCCTGCTCACTAAACAGGGAAAAGGTTGGACTCCAAAGACATATTATCTGATAACTCCCTTTATGTTTATTAAGGTATCTACCTAGTAACGAAAAACTGCTCCTTGCTTTAAACAAAAATCCTTAATCAAGTCTATTTACAGAAGAACAAGGTGCAATAATCATCAACATTCTTACAGCTCATGTAAATAGAAATGAATGCTTACTGCAGACAAAAAGGCACAAAAGGTTCTTCACGTATGCAGTTGCAACAGTGTTGTTAATGACATTGATTTGAAACTACATTCTTAATGTACTCAATGCTTCTTTTAAATAAGATAAAAATCCAAATATCCAAAACTTTTCCCTCTTCATGATTAAATGCAGGTTATTAATATACAGCAATTTCCAGCATGACATTTTGGGGTGAAGCTAGAAATTTTATGTTTTGTGAACACTGGAATTTTATGTTTTGTGAACACTGGGGAAAAAAACTGTCAAAAATGGAAACAAAATGAATTAACTTTGGCTCTGAGACCTCGAGCTACTGGCAGTTTCAAATGACATTGTCTGAGTTAAGCATGGTTATGAGAATTGCTTATTTCTATAATTACGTATCTACAGTGATACAAAGCTGCATAAGTGAATGCCAAAATCCAAAGATGTGTCTGAGCTGAACTATGTGATGTAAAAATATAGTCCAAGTTCTCAGCTACTATATTATTCAATGAACTATTACTGATATTGAAAGAACATTCTCCTAATAAAGTAGTTCCTTTAAAAATGCCATCTAAGATAATCCTATTAATAAGTCTTGAATTATGGCAAAATTTATAATCTTATTAGTCATTCATTATTGTACATTATTGTGGAAATGTACAATATTCATTTTAGCAACACTTTCCAGCCCTTGAGATTGTCTCTAACGAGCTACTGAAAGAAGTCTAATTCAGCTTAATAAAGTGTCATGACTAAAACAAATGTCACTAAAATAAAATATGGTTAACATTAAATACTGACTATTTCAAACACAAAAAGGGGCCATACTTATTAAAAAAAAAAAAAAAAAGAAACAAACTCAGGCATGGCTTACCTAAGTCAATACTTAAGCAAATTTCAAATAGATTTACTTTAAAACTTAGGTTAATTATCACCTCAGACAGATAATCACTGTAATAACTCCTAAGAATATCCTACTTCAAACTAGGACATGACTCTATAGAGTTTCTACTTGTCCACCTTACCTAGTCTAACAGTAAAATCTTTGTTTTTAAAGAGATATCATTATTCTTACTAGTCTAACATAAAAGGTTGTCTTGGAGAGGGGAATTTTCTGAAAAATCAAAATTAAATACTTACATATTAGACTACTAATACCTTTACTCCCCCCAAAATTCCCTCCAAGGCTGTCTGCTTATTATCTAGGCCCCTTTACAAAACCCAGACTCCAAGAGATTAACAGTCTGTAATTCAAGGCTATACTTAAATTATTACATCTTAATTCTCCTTTTCATGGAGAGGATACATTTTAGAAACTGAAATATATCAGCAATAGTTAGTTAATTTTCTGTTAGGTTAAAATTTTTCACCCCAAGATACGTGAATTAAAGTCAAATTTTTTGAGTTTTAGAAAACTAACTTATTTTTAAAAAATATAAATTATTTTATCACAATAAAGGCGGAAAACAAAGTATCTACAGTGGTCAAAACAAATGACCAAAAGTTTGCTTAAACAACACTAATAACCATAAAACTCCCACACATATCCATTTTAGTAAGAACCTAGTAATCCAAATCAGTGATTATTTGCCCATTATCACTATCATTTTAGGGTACCTTTACTTTCAAAATTGTGGAGGTTGAGGGTGGGGGGAGGGGATTCTATTCAAAGAGAATGTAAAAATGTGTGCTACACTTGTGGATTATCTATTTTAGATGCTAATTATCTACTTTACTATAAATGACCATTTTTACAGATACTAATTTTTACAAGGTTGAATTCTTTGTATCAGATTTTTGGTACAAATATACTACTCCTTGATTGTCTTCAAACCACCAACATTCAAAAACAGATGAACATCTTAGAAAGCCAAATTCTTGCTAGTGACCAAGTCCCTCCTTTTTAGCTTAAGGACCGTGGGAAGCAGAATCCCTACAATGCACTGATTTCTTAGTGTCCAGATCCTAAGACATAAAATGGCAGGGAGGACTCAGGCACTGGACAGAAGGGAAGGCTGATGTCCTTACAGTGTATTATAACTGATTGCTGAAATCTAACTATTGAGTAACTATTGAGAACTGCATATAAGTCAGATTCTGAGCTGAATGTCTTCCTGGGTAGTTTCTTTGAAGGTCTATCCCAAATATGTTTTCCCTGCTGAAATTACTCAGAAGCATATTTTTCTAGGAGCAGCCTTTATACCATTAATATAAGTCTGGCAAGAAAACAGACATGTGATCTGCTCTTGCCCCAAACAATATTCTCCAGCTTGATTAACATCCCTTGTTCCTTCTACCTATTATTTGTCTTGACCTAAATGAGACCTGGGGCTGTATCAAGAGATAAATTAAAACCAATGTGTAAAGGACAATGATTGCCACAACTAAGTACATTCAAAAGAATGTACTAAATGCTCTGAAGGTAATAAAATACATACTCCTTCCAAGATACAACTAAAATAGGGAAATACTCATTTGGAAGTTTAAATGATTGCATATCTACTAAAAAATATCAGTTGCATTTCATAGTGATATCCTATACTCCAGAAGAACAACTAATGTGGGCAAGTTTATATTCTATGAAGAACCCTGTTTTTAATGTACTTTACCTATTAAGAGGAATTTCAGTATCACTTAGGTTTAGACTTTGTTTATGCTAGTGATAATTCAGATATAAAGAATACAGGCTGATTTTTTCTTAAAGTGGTTTCAACTTTAAAACAGATACAAAACTGTTAAAAATGTAAACATTTGAGATTTGGATAAATAAGTTATTGTTCCAGAGTCATTTTGTTCATTTTACAATAATGATCTGAGGCCTTAGGTTTGCATTAATTATATATGGCTTTGTTTACACTGATATATACATATAATCTATAAATAAAAATTGTAAATAGTAAGGGACATGTTAAAGTTAGTTCAGATTATGTTAAATCACCTTGTAATATGTAAATTACAATGCTAATGGGAATAACCATCACATTGGTATTTCACAACTCTTAGACGATTCACAATCACTCTGGAAAAATAGCTGACCTATCTACAGTACGAAAATCAACCCAACCCCACAACCTCACCATCTCAGCACAGTGATCATTCAAAACACAAAAGGTTTTACCGTTGTACTGCTGTTACAACACTTGCCTGGTGTGGGAACTCTTGCTAAGCCAACCCTTGAAAACCCCAAAGTACAACACAAGCTTCTCCATGAAAAAAAAAAAAAGAAGCACAAGAATATAGTGTGTGCCTTTCTCAGAAGCTTTGATCTTAGAAATCTTATAATTTTGTAAGTAAGTACACATGCACACACACACACACACACACACAATTATGTGATTAAAAGAAATCCTATCCCTTTATCTGAAGGGCACTCTTCACAGCTTGGTCCTACAATCAGTAGTTTGAGAATACAGATTTTTTTTTCTTATACACTTTATCATATTTTTCAAATGGCAATTTAATTTTTTTTTCCTGATTAGAGAAGCCCCTTCGAAACTTTCTCACATCCCAATTCTTCTGCAACAGAACAAATCCACAGAAAAAAACCTATGCAGCAAGACACATGTCACTTGCAACTTTCTATCATGGCTCCTAAAAAGAAACATGAAGAACTTCACACAGCAGCACTTCGCAGCGGGTCGTTATTGCCGTGGGACTGACACTGGTCACTGGGTGACACAGTTGTCTCCCATGTCCTGAGCATAGCGGTCTGATATTGTGGTCCGCAATTCATCTATGTCCCTCCGTAACTGGCATACATCTGACAGCTTTTTAGTGAGTGTTTCTGGGCTGTGGTCATTCTCAGTTTCCTCAGCTGAACAGTTCATTGCTGTGGATACAGAACATGGAGAAAATTTCACTTTTTTTGGCAACAAAGGCATTTTAGGATGTTCAGCCTAATTATCATTGGAAATATAATGCTGTACACTCAATACAGGTCAAACTCAGGTTTAAATTTTGCATTACAGTAGATGGATCTTATCTACTTGGTCCTTTTAAAATTTTGATAGTGAAAATGCAAAAATTCATACAGTGATACACACAAATTCAACAGGTTTATTGGATGACAATATTCCCAGAGTAAAAAGGAACATGCTAACAACTCTCTTCAAACCCAACTAGAGACAAAAAATCTGAAAATCTTTTGGGTGGTAAGGGGCACTATCTTATATTTTTACAGACTGAAAAGTATTAAGAATTGAGTGTGTGTGTGTGTGTGTGTGTGTGTGTGTGTGTATGCTGGGATTCCAAACATTTGAATTCCAAACAATTGAGTCAGGCTGAGAGGCAACTGCCCAATGGCTAAATCACTGAGGGTAAGGGCTGAGTTCAAAATCATATAAAATATTATTTTAACAAATGTTAATTTAACTGTTTTATTGTTCATGATCCATGATCTGGACACTGTACTGACTGCTGAGGTCAGCAAAATAATGCACCTGGTGGCTTATTCTTAATGATTTATGTACATTTCATAAACAAGCAAATTCAGTCAGGTGTCATAGGTAACCTCCCACTACACAAAGGCTACAGCCACATAAGGAAGAGAATAAGATGGAGAGGGGACAGGTTCTCTGAAGAGGCCAAGGACGCAGAACGAACACAGGTATACAGAAACAGAAAACAAAACAGTCTGATATAAATTGAGAAAAATCAAGAAAATCAGTAACCAGCTCTAAAATGGTAGAGCATAAATTATGGGACAGAGGAGTGTCAAGAAATGAGACTAGAGAGGCAGGTGGGAACTATCTTTATGTCTATTCTAAGGGGTGTCTGAGGAAATCTGAACTACGGGCTAAATGATGGCTCTGGCAGCAACATAAAAGATGGATTAGGGGGCTCTCCAGAACCTGAGAGTTCTCTGGAAGCAGACGGTGAGGTGAGCGAGGGAGCGGGCAAGCTCCTAGGAGGAGTGGGTGTAGGGAGGGAGCGGGGAGGGAGAGAAGGCAGCAGCGGCAGTGCTGGGCAACAGCAGATTCCGACTGGAGCCACACCAAGGGGAGCTCGTGGCTGCGACGTGCCACCCTAAGCACTCTCCCAAGTCCGGCCCGCCTGGCGAGGACTTCTGTCTCCTGGCCCAACCTTGTCAAGCAAGCTGGGATCTACGAGTGGAAAGGTGACCAAGCCCAAAGAGGAGAAAGATGCTTCTAAGGAGATCAAGCCCTGAGACTCTGGAATGGGAGCACTGACTCCAAGACCCTAGGCGGCCAGAGGACTAACCCTGGGAGTATCAAATAGTGAGAACTCACACAAGGGAAACCACTTGAATACAAGACCCCGCATCACCCAACCACCAGTAGCACCCTGTGCAGACACCTCATCTAAACAACAAACTAAACAAAAATACAAACCCCATTATCAGCAAACAGGATGACCACCTCACTCAGCCTTGCCCATCAGAGGAAAAACAAACAAACAAACAAAAATTCACACAAATATCACCCTATAGAAGCTTACACTAACTACTGGACCAATCTTAGGAGGGCAGAAACCAAAAGAAAGAAAGAATTCAACCTTGAAGCCTGGGAAAAGGAGACCTCAAACACAGTAAGTTAAAAAAAAAAACAAAAGGCAGAGAAATACTACACAAATGAAGAAACAAACTAGAAACACAGAAGTCCAAATAAATGAAGAGGAAATAGGCAAACTATCTGAAAAAGAATTCAGAATAATGATATAAAGATGATCAAAAACCTTGAAAACAAAATGGAGAAAATGCAACAAGAATCAATTAACAAAGACCTAGAAGAATTAAAGAATAAACATACAGAGAAAAACAACACAATTACTAAAATTAAAAATACTCTAGAAGGAATCAATAGCAGAGTATCTGAAGCAGAAGAACGAATCAGTGAGCTGGAAGATAAAACGGTGGAAATAACACCTAAAGAGCAGAATAAAATAGAAAGAATGAAAAGAACTGAAGACAGTCTCAGAGATCTCTGGGACAATATCAAAAGCGCCAACATTTAAATTATAGGGATCAAGAAGAAGAGAATAAGAAAGGGTATAAGAACATTTTTGAAGAGATTAAAAAAAAAAAAAAAGAACATTTTTGAAGAGATTATACTTGAAAATTTCCCCAACATGGAAAAGAAAATAGTCAGTCAAGTTCAAGAGGCACAAAGAGTCCCATACAGGATAAACCCAAGAAGAAATATGCCAAGACACATACTAATCAAACTAACAAAGAAAGAATATTAAAAGCAGCAAGGGAGAAGCAACAAGTAACATACAAGGGAAACCCCATACACTTAACAGCTGATGTTTCACTAGAAATTCTGCAGGCCAGAAGGGAATGGCAGATACATTTAAAGTACTGAAAGGGAAAAATCTACAGCCAAGATTACAGTACCTGGCAATGATCTCATCCAAAACTGATGGACAAATAACAAGCTTTTCAGAGAAGCAAAAGTTAAGAGAATTCAGTACCACCAAACCAGCTTTACAACAAAAGTTAAAAGGACTTACATAGTCAAGAAATACAAGAGAAGAAAAAAGATTTATAAAATCAACCCCAAACAATTAAGAAAATGGCAATAGGAACATATATATCAGTAATTACTTTAAATGTAAACGGATTAAATGCTGCAACCAAAAGACATAGACTGGCTGAATAGATACAAAAACAAGACCCATATACATGCTGTCTACAGCAAACCTACTTCGGACCTAAAGACATCTAGATTGAAAGTGAGAGGATGGAAAAATATATTCCATGCAAATGGGAAGCAAAAAAAAAGCTGAAGTAGCAATCCTCATATCAGACAAAATGGATTTTACAGTAAAGGTTACAAGAGATAAGGAAAGACACTACATAATGATCAAGGGATCAATCCAAGAGGAAGACATAACAATTGTAAATATCTATGCACCCAACATAGGAGCAACTCAAAACATAAGACAAACACTAACAGACATAAAAGGAAAAACTGACAGTAACACACTAATAGTAGGAGACTTTAACACCCCACTCACACCAATGGACAGATCATCAAAACAGAAAATTAATAAGGAAGCACAAGTTTTTTTTTGGAAGCACAAGTCTTAAATGATACATTAGATGAGATGGATCTCATTGATATCTTCAGGACATTCAATCCAAATGCAGAAGAATACACCTTCTTCTCAAGTGCACATCAAACATTCGCCAGGATAGACCACATCTTGAGTCATAAATCAAACCTTCGTAAATTAAGGAAAACTGAAATTGTATCAAGCATCTTCTCTAACCACAACACTATGAGACTAGATATCAATTACAAGAAAAAAACACTGTAAGAAAGACAAACACATGGAGATTAAACAATGTGTTTCTAAACCAACAGGTTACTGAAGAAGTCAAAAGGGAAATCAAAACATTTCTAGAAACAAATGACAATGAAAACATGATAACTCAAAACCTATGGGATGCAGCAAAAGCAGTTCTAAGAGCGAAGTTTATAGCAATACAATCCTACCTCAAGGAACAAGAAAAGAAAACATCAAATAGACAACCTAACTTTACACCTAAAACAACTGGAAAAAAAAGAACAAAAAAACCCCCCAAATTAGTAGAAGAAATCATAAAGATCCAAGCATAAATAAATGAAAAAGAAATGAAAGAAACAATAGTTAAGACTAATGAAATTAAAAGCTGGTTGTGTGAGAAGATAAACAAAATTGACAAGCCTTTAGCCAGACTCATCAAGAAAAAAAGAGAAGACTGAACCAGGAAGAAATAGAAATTATGAACAACCCAATTACAACCACAGAAACTGAAGCTGTGAATGAAAATCTCCCAAAAAACAAAAGCCCAGGATCAGATGGCTTCACAGGAGAATTCTATCAAACATTTAGAGAAGAGGTAATGCCTATCCTAAAACTCTCATAAAATTGCAGAGCAAGGAACACTTCCAAACTCTTTCTACGGGGCCACCATCACCCTGATACCAAAACCAAACAAAGACAAAACAAAAAAGAAAACTACAGGCCAATATCACTGATGAACATAGATGTAAAAATCAGATTAAAAAAACAGAATTCAGCAACACATCAAAAAAAAGCTCATACACCATGATCAAGTTGGGTTTATTCCAGGAATGCAAGGGTTCTTCAATGTGATACACCATATTAACAAACTGAAAGATAAAAACCATATGATCATCTCAATAGATGAAGAAAAAAGCCTTTGACAAAGTTCAGCACCCATTTATGATTAAAACTCTTCAAAAAATGTGCACAGAAGGAAACTACCTCAACATAGTAAAGGCCATATATGATAAGCCTACAGCAAACATCATTCTCAATGGTGAAAAACTGAAAGCATTCCCCTAAGATCAGGAACAAGACAAGGGTGTCCACTTTCACCACTACTATTCAACATAGTTCTGGAAGTCCTAGCTACAGCAATCAGAGGGAAAAAAAGAAATAAAAGGAATCCAGATTGGAAAAGAAGTAAAGCTCTCACTGTTTGCAGACATGATACTGTACACAGAAAACCCTAAAGATAGTATCAGAAAATTACTAGCGCAAATCAGTGAATTTAGCAAAGTTGCAGGATACAAAATCAATACACAGAAATCACTTGCATTTCTATATACTAACAATGAAAAATCAGAAAGAGAAATGAAGGAATCAATCCCATTCACCATTGCAACAAAGAGAATTAAACATCCAGGAATAAACTTACCTAAGGGGACAAAAGAACTGTACATAGAAAATTATAAGACACTAATGAAAGAAATCAAAGATGACATAAACAGATAAAGAGATATTCCATGTTCCTGGGTAGGAAGAATCAATATTGTGAAAATGACTATACTACCAAATGCAATCTACAGATTCAAT